GTTGCTTTTGTGGATCCAATCGAATTTTGTTGAGCTGGCCTGGAGACAGAAAAAGCTTGTTATGGCTGCTGCTGACTCCTGGTCTAATGTGTTGATTAGATGAGCTTGAGCTGTATTTGTATTGCCTCCACAAGGGGGAGCTGTGGCTTTTTACAATCAATGTTTAAACGAAGAAGAGAGGGACTGTTATACCCCGAGCTGTTTATTGGGAAACAGTTTGAGCTAAATAACTCAGACTTTTGAGCAAACCTTTGCTTAACGTGGTTTTACACCACAGAAATCACTCGGATCCGCCATTTTGTCGTGGTTCCAGCGGACAGCGGGGGCTCAGCTGGTGGTCCTGCTCTTGTTCCTGGTGGGGCTCCTCCCGCAGCTCGGCTCACCTCCACAGGTCGCCTCTCAGGATGAATCTGATCGAAAACAAAACTCTGCGCTCGCAGCTTCACGACGAGGAGGCGGTGGTGGTGGAGAACGCCGTCAGGCTGGCGATAGATTCGGTGCTGAACGTGTTGTACGGGGTGAACGGCGCCAGGACCCGGGAGTACCAGCGGATGGTGGCCGACAGGGACAAAGAGATCCAGCGGCTGGAGGGCAGGCTCACGGAGATCGAGCGCGAGCTGCAGGTGCTGCGCAGACATGGCTGCACGTGCGGGTTGTTCGAGGCCGGGAGCCGGACCCCCGCTAACCGACAGACAGGGGAGCAGATCCGGTCTGAAGCAGGAGGAGTGGGCCCTGAGGTGACAGCAGGACCGCAGGACTGTGACCTGAGCCTTTCCTGTAAGCGCCACGGACGTGTCTCTCTAAAACACGAGTGAAAAGCTACAAAAAACACGCAGATTAGATGATGTAATCACTAAACCCGAGTAAAAACACTGGTAACAACTCAGGTGTCCTCACCACATTTTTCTAGTGTAGCCAAAAATTTTACTCAAGTAAGAGTAGCTCTACTTAAACATGTTTATTCAGATAAAAAGTAAAACGTACTCAAACTTTTTAAACAAAAACAAAACTGTAGAAATAGATTTACGTTGACTTTTTCAGTCGACATAATGCTAATTTGATCTTTAAAACATCTGATCTGATATTTAAAACAGTTGTAATCAGACAGACAAAAATATTTATCTTCAAGTATTTTTAAGACTAGTCTCACTTTACCAAAAACTGTAGGTGTGATTCCTGGTCTGGTATATTTATTTATCATTCAGCGTAAGTTACTTTTAGTGAGTAGCCACAAAGTTTACTCTAAATAAGAATAGCGATACTGATAAATGTAATGGAGCTGCACCAATATGAAGAGAAATCATTGAAGGAAGAGTTAGAAGGCCGCTTGTATGTGACGTCCATAAGTCCACAATGAGAGAATATAAAACATTTAAGGATTCTGGTAAAAGTGGATACTCCAACAAATGCATAACACGGACTAATATATGATCTACTGTGTTTTTTCTGAATATTAGTTATTTACTGCGGCTTTTTCTTCCACAGTGGGCGTTTATCCTCGACCCTCATCTCATTTCCCTTCCCAGTACCACGAGACGCTCCTCCCATCACCGCCCAGCTACCTGGGCATAACCTCCACCTGCACATCCCGCTCCTCAGAGGCTTCAGGGGGCACAGAGGCCGCCAGGAACCTGCCTACATCTCCCAGCAGCCTCGTGGTGAAGGAAGAGCCCTGTGATGTGGATGCCGTCCTGATAGAATGGGAGCTGAGCGAGGAGAGAGCTGCAGAATCTCAGGAGCAACCAGGAAGTCCATGTCCGGACCAGCAGAGTTCTGATGGGAAGCATCATTCACCAGGTGCTTGGACTCAGAATTCATGCACACTTATTTCCTAATTAATATGTTTATATTGTAAAAACATCTAATGTTATATCCCACCTCTCTTAGTTCCTGCAGAACATGTGGAGAACGACGAGGGTCAGATGCTGAGGGAAAAAACTCCAGTAAATCCTGCTGGTTTTCAAAGCTCTGCAGGAGATCAATTGAGGTGAGACATAGATTATAGCAAAATAAATACAGAAAATATTTACAATTTTTATTTTTTTAAAGATTTTTGTGCCGAACTGAAACTGATCCAGCCCAGAGAGTGGCTTTATTTATATGTAAATCCAGACTAGAGATGCAAGTTATTGATTAATGAGTTAATTCAAAGTTGATTGCTTGTATTGATCAACAATTAATTGATCAACCGCCATTTTCTTAACAAATTGAGTTTTCTTCTGAATCATAAGGAAAAAAATGTTTCATATATGCTGAATTAAAAGAATCAACATTATTTTGTGTCAACTGTGTTAAATACAGAGTGGATGAACATAAAATTGTGATTTTCTCATATTACTAAACTTAGACACATTTATAAAATATAACAAAACAAAAACCTGTTAAGTTGTTGAAGAGAAAAATAAAAAAGATTAATTCCCCAAGAACAGAAGTATTGTTTGTGGTTTCTCTTTAAAGAATGTTAAAACTTCACTCTAATAAGTGGATTGAAACTGTGTTTCAAAAGTCGAATGTTTTCAAACAATGTCACTGAATAACTCCTCGTCTGGTTTGCAGTCGGCACTTCAGTTTCAAAAGACTTTTGAAACTCAGAAATGTTCAAGTTTTTTCTAGAGTACCTAACTCTGAATTTGTCAGTTTTTCTGTATAAATTTACTTTTGTTCTATCTACAAAGTCTCAAATACATCATCATAAAGGTAAAACGTCAGGAACTTGTCAAAGTTTTATGTTTCAAAATAGAACCCCGTAAAGTTAATTTTGCTTCCCACACAAACCCGGTTTGGACCGTGTCTCTCTTGTTCTGGTATGGTGCTGCCATCTTTGTTTCTGTATCAACTGGTTCTGCTTAGGGATGAGCAGTGACGCCTTCTGCTGGATGGCGGCCAAACTACAACACTAAAAGAAGGTCTAGATGGACGTTATTAGTTAATCGCTTGGAACGGTTTTTAATCTACAAGTAATCGTAAATTGACTATTGATTTTCACCCCTGATTCGGATCGATCTTGATCTTTTCCCACCTGCCGTCTTTCCTAGGAACAAAAAGAAGAATGTTCCCATGTCGCAGCTGACGGAGGAGGCCCAGAGGCTGAAGAGGGCGGCCTGGAGAGCAGCTTCCAAAAGATACTACGCCCGTAAAATCGCCCGTCAGCAGGCGAGCCTCCACGGCGGCGGTGGCGGCGGCCACACAGTCAGCGCTCAGCGCGGCTGTTTGGTGGAGGAGCGAAGGAAACGGATAATCTCAGACCTGCCGGAGGAGTCCCAGATGATGCGCAGGGAGATGTGGAGGGCCGCCTCCCGGAGGTACTACGACAGGAAAACGGCTCGCCACCCCACCGAGGGCCTGCAGTACGGACACCTGAACCCTGCTGTAGCCACACAGGTGCCCAACGGAGAGGGGCCCCTGGTTATCACTGGAATAATGTGCAGCTGATGATCACAGTCATGCTTTTACACACGTTTTTATTCAGATTCCAGGGTTTATTGGACATAGGGAGACCAGGTTCAAGTAACTCTAATCAAATCTAAAGGGAAGGTTTAGTAAAAAACACAAACTTTAAAGTCAAATTGTTACATTTTTGTAGGAATATCATGAAAACTGAAATAAAAATGAAATGAAAATGCATCTAGAATACATCTAGATCTAAAAATGACTGCAGCAGACTGCTTTCACTGACTGACTGGTTTAACAAACTCATCTGTGAAAACTTTAACTCGTACATCTGACATCCATCGATTATGAAGGAAAACAGGATTCCAGGTTCTTCAATAGAGGAAAATGAAGAGATTGCAAGATTACCCACAATTAACTCTGATTTTTACTAAACTTAAAGTCCATCCAATAATATTGTATTTGATGATGCGCTTCCTGACTGATTTTTTTTTTTTTTTTCAAAAACTCGATGTTTTAGCTGCAGGTTTCTTCTCGTTTCCTCTCCACCGTCGTCATGTGATTGATAATCCTGTTACAAAAAGCAATTAATCAGTTAATTACATGATAAATTTAAATAAGCTAGGTAATTACCTTTATACTGATTAATATTTTCTGAAGGACAGTTTTAACAGAGACATCAGAATCCATTTTATTTGTGGTTTTAGTTGTAAGTTGTTTTTATTTGCTTTTTATTTATGGTTTTTGGTTGTTTTCTTGTCTTCCAGTTCCAGTGTGGAGTGTTCTGTGCAAAATTATAGTTTATTAGTCTTTTCATTATCAGTATATTAGATGAAAATGGTCTCAAAACAACAATATTATCGTTCCTCTGGGATGATTTGTTCAGTAAAATATGTTATTGATTGAACAGATTTAATCTTTCTATATGATTGTTTGTGTAAAACGGCTTTCTGGTGTTTTGAATCAATCCAAGTTGAATAATAATATCCAAACACATAAATTAGCTGCTTTTACAAAACTTCTAATTTTGAGTGATGTTATTTGTATTATTTTTGAGAGAGACAAGAGATGGATAATTGGTTTCAAATAACACAAAAGTTAACATAACTGCAACTAGCAGGTTTATTTTTGTAGATGACATTTGATTTACTGACATGTTTTCTCCCTTATTGAAGGAAAAAGCCGGGAATCTTAACTAAAATTATAATTTCAGTTTTTCTTTCCTGAATTCAACATTTCACTCAGATCATTGACATCTGTCTTCATCTCAGCCTTCCCTGGTTCAGTTTTTACATGTTGAACCCTGAGATCTTCCACATTCATCCTGATGTTGTAGATGTGCAGCGCCCCTGGAGTTCAGTATGTGTTACTGCACCTACCAGCAGCAGTAAAATGATTTCCCTGTTTTATGTTTCTAAAAATGATCAGCTGAGTTTCTACTAAAATAAATCTTTTCATGTTTTGTACCTCTCTCTATTTTCCACATGTTAAATAATAAATATATTTAAATGCAGCTGTGGAATTCTAATTTCTGGGATAATTTTAAAAGTTCATATAATGTGATTTCAAAATGACCATTTATTCTTGCATAATAAAAAAGAACACAGTAATATGGATTTAACTTTTATTATTAATAAGGCACTGTAATGAGCATACATTTACATCACTTGCAACTATACCAACAATTTATATTTTTGTGTGAATAAACAAAATTATAACAAAAGAGGAAAATATGAGATTTTACATCCTCATATTGCACTTTTATTAAGAACTTAAGATATTTCAAATGAACATTTTCCTTGTGTATGAAAAACAATAATAAAAAACATTACTTAGTTTGAATAAAATAATGTGAAACAACAAAATGAGGTTAGAATGTAGAAATGATGCCTGTTTCTGCTGGTTTCTACCTGATTCTTGTCCTGGAGTGATTCCTGCCATCGCTCCTCCATCTGTGTGCAGCGCTGCAGAAACAAAAACATAAAAATGCAAAAACATGCATCTTACATCACAGACTGTCAGCCTGAATCCTGTGCATTACGCGTTCTGACTGCGGCCCAACGCGCAGCTGCTGATGTTGCACAAGTGTGGTCTTTACTGCAGAATCATGACTGACTGTTTGTCCCACCATGACTGCTGTCTGGATCTGAAATGTGAGCCGCTGTTCAGCTGCCGCTGCGCACATGCGGCTGCGCACATGGCGCTAAACAAAGCCTCTATGTGCGGATGTTTCCACCAGCAGCAAGATGTGAGGCGCGATCCTCTCATTCATGTCTGCAGATATAATGAAAGCTTTGTGGTTTCTAACGGACAGAGCTTCTTCTATTCCTGTTTTATGCGCAGAGTGACGCGCAGGAAGAACAGCGCCGCTGGTGTGCCGCTGTGTGTCCAAGGTTGGGGTTTCAGATACGGGGGAATGGTAGAGGATTTGCGGGTGTTTGTCGCCGTTCTGGACACGCATGGAGGCGGACGCCCGTCCAATGGAGCCTGCATGCGGATGTAAACATGCCGGAGGCAGGCAGGTGGAGGCAGGGCCGCTTTAACGCTGCAGGAGGCGGCAGCATCATTTGCATGCAGGTTTGTTTGGGGGAAACGTCCTCAACGGTCGGAGGAGTGAACACACCCGAGGATTCGCTGATTTTATCCGCTGCAGAAATGGTGTGAAGCCTCCTGAAGCCTTGCTGGAGGCGCAGACTGAGAGGATTTCAACGCGCTGACTGGATGCGTTCACTGCTTTTCTTTACGCTTTTTCGCTTTTCTGCTCAGGCAGACCGGACGTTTACGTATTAATGTGTGATCCAGAGCTATTAGTATCTGTTTATAAACATTAAGCAGAAACAGATAAAATAATAAGCTGTATTTCCGATAAAGTCACTGCGCCTCTAGGAACATTGCATTCGCTTTCCTTTGCGCTCTTTAAGTTTGACTTTATTTGAGAGTCGCTAAATATTTTTAACCCAAATTGTAATATTGAAATAAAATTTGAATTTTTACCTTTAAACTCTGATGAACATCTTCTTTTTTCCTCCCTGGAGCCTTTGGAGAGTTCTCTGTGCCTCTGGACACACCTGCTGAATTTGGAGAGGTCTAACTTGGATTCGCTGCGCTCTTTGGGTTTCACTGGATTTTAATCTGGATTTTAAACTTTCCGCCACATTTTCAAATCTATTCCGCAACAAAAACAGCCGGTCTGACCAACAAAGCCCATCAGTTGTGCTTCTGCAGGCTGCCTGAGATGCTCCGGGCTTTGGAAACGCGCTGAAGTCAGCTGAGCGTCTCCAAGAGTTCAGCTGCGCACTCAACGACAACTGCGTCTCTTCAACAACTGTTTGGCTATTGGATGGAGCAGAAGAAGTGTGAAATTTAGGGGGTGGGACAGTGTATTTCCAAGGTAGGGGGTTTCATTATTTCACCCATTTAAAATGGTATTTTTGGTGCCATATTGGTGCTTTTATCTATTTGAGGCCTAAATAACCTTATTTTACATTTGGAGGGGCTAATTTGGATTTAAAAAATGGTTTTGTCCAATTTGATCACCCCCACATATTCAACATACATGGAAGTGTCCTTTTTTGCAGGGATTGCTGGGAAGAAGAAGGAGGGTGTCGAGCTTGGGACTTTGGAAAGGCAGTTTTAGTCAGAGCCAGTTTGAAAAGGTAAGAAATCCTCTGTTCTGCTGGGACCAATGGGGCCCAGTGTCGTCTGGGAGGCAAATGGAGACGCTTTACTCGGGATATATGGAGAGAAAGTCAACTTTTCAGGTGTATTTTGGTGTATTTGGTGTGTTTTTTAGGCAGGGAGGGTCAGGGCTCTGGGTGTGCACTAACAAGGAAATACGGAGAGGTAGCTAGGGGGAGCCATAGCTGCGCAGGAAGGCAGCTCTGTGGGCCTGGGCTGCTGCTGAGGGGATGTGCTGCTTATTATAACACTCACAAACAAAGAACTCCGGATGACGCTTGATTGTTGGAGGATTGGGACGTTGGTTCAGTTATTGTTTGGGGAATTTCAGCTTGTGGGACCTTCTTCCTTTGAGAAGCCTATTAGCCAGCAGGAAGAGGTCTGTAGAGGAAAACAGTCAGAAAATATGATCAAATCCCAGAAAACAACCCAAAACCAGGCACTAAAATGTAACCGGTGAGCTTTGTGCAGAGACTTACTGTAGGATCAGAATATATTTACAGTTAGCCTAGCATTGCTGTTGTGATTGAAAACATTCAAGATGGCCTCTGTGCTGCCTGGAAACAGGTGAGAAGAGCCTGGCACTTCCTGTTCAGACAGTCAGAGCTGCCTGCTGTCAGCCTTAAGCCCACATACATCGTTTTTTTTAACATTTTATTGTCTCCAAATAACTCATAAAAATCCATTTGTGCATAAAATCTGGGCCTTATGTCTGTTCTGTTACATTAGACGTGCTGAGACTCCTGTTTATAAAGGCTGAGCTGTTGTTGGCTGGCTCACTTTACAGGTTTTTCAACAAAATGACTGTAATTGGTCTGCTTAATGAGAACTAATTAACGTTTTAATAGAGTTTTATCCTTTCAGTTTGAAAGTTAGAACTAATTCCCGCTTTAAAACACTAAAAATTCTCACAATCATGACATTTAGTTGGTTGAGGTTATTTTTAAAGCTTTGCAATAAATATTAGGTCAATTAAATTAGCACAAAGGGTTAATTTAGAGCTAAAACAGCCTTCAGTGGGGCTTTACCAACCTAAAGTCACGTCATTTACAAAATACACATTAATTCTCATTATTTTAAGTAATGATTACAAAATGCAATATTATTGATAGATAAATCATATTTGAAAAAGAAACGCAAGGATTAACCCTTTAGTTACCTGCATTATCTGTTGGAGTTTGTTGTATTGTGCTGAGAAAAACAGATTGTCTCCTTTTTCCAGTGAATTTTCTGAAAGAATAACAAAACAAGACAAATTAAAATACAGAGAGTAATCTAATAATTGTCTTTAAATAGCAAATATTTAGACAAGGTGTCATTTATAATCATCTATATTATAAAAATGACCCCTTTGAAGCAGCAGTATAATGTGGTATAAATGTGTCTTTGAACAACAGCTGTGATGATTTTATTTATTCAACACAGTCCGGTTTTCAAACACACCAACCAAGTTTAATTTGATCTATTTAAGTGTCTGAAAGTTGACTTCCTGAATATTAAAGATAAAACAGGTAATTTTTGCAGATTCAATCAATTTAAAGTCCATATTTGGCCCGTTTTTCTGCATTTAAAGGGTTAAGCTGAGGCAGTAGTTTCAGTCCACAGCTGTGGTGCTGAAATCGGATGGATGCTGTGGATGTTTCTGGAAAAGCGGGTGAAATGCCGCCCCCTTGTGGCGCTAACAGGAAGAGAAAGTAAAACGGAAATCATGTCGCCCTGGGGCCTCGGTGGTTCTTTGATGATCAGAACCGCTGCTGTAATGTGACTGGTTCTGGTCCGTTCAGGAAGTAAAACACTGTTTACTCCTGTAGGAGTTTAAAAAATAAGTCTTGGGTGTCAGATGTCCCAGCTCCTATCAGAATAAGCCTGAGATCATGTGGCTTTGTGAGCTTCCGTTACGTAATAAACACGTTTAGCAGCCTGAGCCGCCCACCAGCTGCTGGTCGTGTCACACAGAGGAGCTATCGGCTCGGTCCATAGAAACCCACAGACAACGGCCTGGTGCTGAAAAGCTGTGTCATGAACAAACATGGAGGCTGTTAACTCCTTCATGGCTGTCAACGGCACCCAGACAGGGACAAAAATCTGCCAATCAGAGTTAGAACGTTCCAGAAGAGTTTAATCTGCAGCCTTCTTTATCCAGTTCATTCAGTGATCATGTTTAACAGAACCAGGGTTATAAAGCTACGGTATTATTAATTATACATCAATTTGGTAATGAATACTCAGCAGAAGATACCATCCTCAAAAAATGTATTAAATTATTGTTCAGCTAACCGCTTTTGTTGTCGCCATTTTGCAGACTAGCTTAAGTGCCGCCAGGAGGAGAGAGAGGTGACGTAAACTGCTTGTGTGGAGGAAAAACAAAACACTCACATCAGTTGAAAAGGCTAATATTAGATTCATAACTCAAAAACAAAGTATGATATAGTTCCAGTCAATTATAGTTTTTCCCCATTAATTACCATTTTAGTTTATTTCAGCTAACAAAAATGTTTTCTCAATTTCAGTTTTTGTTATTTCGTTTGTTTGGGTTAAATATAATAACCTAGATTCATTTCTTCAGGGTTCTAATGTAGAACTTAAGAGAAATGGTGACAGAGGTGCAAACGTCACAGTGAAATGTTTCTATTCCAGCCATCCTTGGAGTTTGAATTGAGCTGAAATCCCATAAAATTCCCATTATCAACTGGGTCAGAAACAGTTCAGGTTGATAAAATATGAAACCAGCTACAGTGCTTTATTTACTCCATATTAATGTTGTACTAAAAGTTTAAAATGTGTTTTTCACCATTATGATGATAAAAGAACATTAGAAAAAACAAAGCAAATCAAATGTTTTGTTTTCTTTGAGATGAGCAAACAGTTTCTCAAACAGCAGTGCGCCTCCAGAAGGCGGGGTGAATGAGATTGATGAGCTAGTTTCCACGGTAACGTAATGGAGATGAGATGCATGTGAGCAGTGGGGCGTTTTAACGGGAACAAACACACTAGCAGCTGGAACCAGGCAGAGCTGGATGATGGATCACGTCTGTTACCAGGAGTCTGTCTGTGGACCGAACCCAGGAAACCCAGAACCAGAGTCGATCCCAGGAAAACATCGGCTTTAATCAAACCAAGGGAGACCAAAGACTCACTGCTGCTGCTGAAAACACCATTTATAAGGGAAATAATATAATTGTGTGTTTTATTTTGGATAGCTAAGTATCTTCCAGTTCCAGAACTTGTTATTGTGGCATTATGAATACGTATTGCCTGAAAATGGTCTTAAAACAACAATATTATCGTTTATCACAATAATTACTGGGACAATTTAACGTCCAGCAGTTTTTTGTTAGCTGACTAATCTTTCCCTTCCTCTGCTGCAGATCATCGTCACCATGATGGATGAGGAGATACAAGAGGACCATAGCAAGCTGAAGCAGGGCCTAGTCAAAGTCCTCCAGTGCGTGGCCACCATCTCGTCGGCGGCGGCCGTGGTCAACCCCATCTTCGGCGTGGCGGGCTCCCTGATCCGGGTGGTGCTGCACCACGTGGACGATGAGGACATCCGCACGCTGAAGCGCGAGTTCGGCTCCGTCCACCAGAGGTTGGACGAGCTGTCCCAGCAGAACCGCCGGACGCTGGTCCAGATCGAGAAGGAGACGCTGGACGGCCAGTACTGCCACGTGGAGGAGAACCTGAAGAACCAGTTCAGGAAGTTCATGGCCATGGTGGAGGCGCGGCCGGAGCACCGCAACGGTAAGAAGGAGGACTTCGAGGAGAGCTACGCCAACGACCTGGGTGACCAGAACCTGCACACGCTGTACGACGGCGTGGTGGGCAAGCGGAAGCTGTTCAGCCGGCCCATCCTGGAGGTGTACCTGAAGCACTCGCAGGGCGACCGCCGCGTCATGGAGCGCCTCTGTACGCGCCTCACATATCTGTTCTGCATCGGCCTCATCGCCCTGATGGGCTACTCCGCCATCATCGGCGACGACGAGGAGGGGCTGAGCGAGGAGTGGGCCGAGAAGATGGAGCATGTGCAGGAGAAGATGCAGGAGGCGCTGCGCAAGTGCACATGAGGAGGAGGAGGAGGAGGAGGAAGGGAAGGCTTAACATTCCCACTCCCGCTCTCTCTGTCTGCAAAATCTCCTTTTACCGCGCGATCCTGAAGGCAACGTCTACCAAATCCCGCTGCACGCAAACAGGCTGTTGATTGGCTGCTTTCACATCACAGCCAATTAAAACATAGAGATAAATTTACCTTAATAAAATAAAAACACTCGCTTAGATTTAATTTATTTTTTTTTAAAAGCATTTAGACACAAATGTGTATTTATGGGGCAGAACAGAATCTAACAGAAGGCAAAGAAATTGAGAAAAAACAAAATATTACCAAATATGTTTGTGTATTTTCTAGGGAAAATATGAGTACATTTGAAAATAGATAAAACTAAAGTATAAGCTTGTTTTAAGTCAATAATTCATGTATCTAGGTAAAACAATACTAGTTCCACTGGCAGATAATTTTCACCAGTAACAAATTTTTTTCTGTTTCTAGTGGAAAATTCTGCCAGTCCAACCAGCACTTTCTGTATTGACTTAAAATAAGCTTATTCATTACTCATTTATTACTTTTTAAGTTAGTTTTGTTTTATTTCTAGTGTGCTAATATATTTTGAGTAGAAACTAGACACATTATTTGGTAAGACTTGGTGTTTTTGCAGATAACCTCTATAAATATCAGCCTATTTATCATGAAACTGCTTTAAAAGCTGCATTAACATGAAATATCTGCTTGTTGTATCCATTATATTAATAATATGTCATCATATTTTCCATGAAGTGTCAATGTAAAGTCCAGCTTCAAGATATAAAATCACATTTCTGCATTTTGTGGAGTACTTGCCTTGTTTGGGAAGCTTTCAGGGGGTTTGGGAAGCTGTTGCCACAGTAACCAACGAGCATCTGGAAGTTTCCAGAACGATGAATGTAAAAGAAAAAAAAAAAAAATCACCATGTATGACCTGTGATCACACTACCACCTTCATGTTGAGTTATGTCATTTTTTTTTTACATATTATTAATCATTTGTACACTATTATGAGCCGAGATCTTTATGTAGCTGATAAAACTTTATATTTTATTGATGGTTAAAGACACTAAGTGATGAAACTAGGAAGTTGCTTTCGTTTCAGTCACTACACTTATTCTCTGTTGGGAGGAAATCAGTTAAATTTGGTGACTGGCTTAATCTTCTGTGCAATTTTTGTGTAAAAATCATATTTTTGTTTCCTGTCTGCAGCTTTTTAATGAACACAGGAGAGGCACCAAGTGTTAGACTTCTAATTGAATTTTTCTAACATGTAAGGTGTCACATAATCACTTTTCTTTCGTTGTCACCTCCAGTCTTCTCTGTTTTTTTTTTTTTTACCGAGTGCCTGAATGTGCCAGTTCCTGCTCCTATTTTATTTTTATATATTTTATACTCCGCCAGGTGGGTGGGGGGCCTGAGCCTGCAGACCACAGTCCAGATTTATTGTGCATATTTTTGGGGGGTTTTGGGTTTGTGGTTCTGGATCGTCCCACTTATTGTTAAAACACTATTAAAGCTTAAAGCGCTCTTCTTTACGTGCAGGAAAACTGGACCCTGAACGTCTCCTGGCATGTCAGATATGTGACTATGTTCATGTTTTTTTGTTCTGTTTGGGTTTATAAATGTTTGCATCGACATAAATAAAGGTGTGAAAAGAAAACTTATTGACTTAATTATTTCTGTTATACTGATCAGCTTTACTACTGAATGAAAGCTACTGAAGCTACAAACACATGCATGATGCATATGCACTCAACTTCATGCATTTTTTTCATATAGTTTGCTGTAATTGAAAGAAAATATGTTTTGAAACTCAAAGTTTTTATTTTAAAGTCCCCTCCATGCTTTATTGATCATATTTCTATAAGCTGTAATTATATTCTGTAACTTTTTCATTTACCTACATTTGGGAATCTTGCAATCAGACAAACCTGTTAATCTAAGAGGTTTATAGTTTAAACCTGAAGTTTGCAGAGAATAATTAGAGGATTTTTTTTTTTACTAACTTTAATAATTTTTTCACCAAGAATTTCAAACCTTTCAACCAATGTTTTAATCCACAGATTTTCTCCTTTAGTGTAGAAATAAAATCCTGAGTCCCGCAGAGATCCAGAAACATCTTCACATGTTTGCAGCTGAATCAGAAAACTCAGCTGGGAAACAACAAACCTCCAGGAAAAAATGAGGTTCAACTTTGAGTCTTCCTCAGTCAAATGGAGATTAAATCAAATCTGATTTACAGATTTCAGGTTTGAGCTGAAATTACAGAAAAATGACAAAATCAAAATGTGCATGTGGAAACAGGAGGGCTGAAGCATCAATTTAAACCTGCAGACATAAAAGTAAAACCATCTCAAATTTAAAACTGTTTTTCTGAGTTTAAATCCCAAAAAGTTTGATATTGTTATAAAAAGCATAACTTGAATCCAAAGTTGATCATTTGGTACAGAAATGCTAAATGAAGTGAAGAGAACCGAGTCGGCATGAAGGTTTAAGAAGGCTGGAGTCTTATTTCAGTCAGGGAAGAATTCCCTGCAGAAGCTGCAGCAGGTTAAAGTTCAGATCCACAGAGTTTAAATTATTCAGCGACACTCAGATTTTCAATTCTGACCTCACTTTGCTGCATGTCTTTATTCTTTTTAATCTGCTTTTTATTTCTGCAGTTACATATAAAACTATAAGCTTCTGCTTCAAAGCTATGTAAAGATTTATGATTTATAGAAATATGACAGAAATGTGATTAATAGAGCATGGAAGGAGCTTCAAGTGAATAAAATAAAAAATAATATGAGTTTGAAACATATTTTCTTATATTTTGTTTTAAAAGAACTTTGTACCATCAGTATGAGGACAGCAGATATAAAATAACTGCTAAAATGTCCAGAATTCTCTCATCTGGTTAATTCTCTACATTATTTACCATTTTTATTTGTTCATTTGATTAGATTATTTGGATTTTGTCAAATAAAATCTGAAAACTGTTGTTTTGCATGTGAAATAGACGCCAATAATTCAGTCAGAGTTCCTGACCTTTGACTCCATCCGGCCTTTCAGTGTTCAGTCTAAATCTGAGATTTAGATTTCAAAGTGTGCATATGCAGAACCAAATGACTGAAAAATAAATTTTTTAAAACGATAAGAAACAGTTATTTGTCCTCAGGAAATGCGTAAATTTACTTGCATTTTGCTGATTTCTCCAGCAGGGGGCGAAAACGCCTCATTTGGTTCCACATCACACCTGTTTTCTGAACTCCAGGGACCTCGGAGCTAAAAGCATCACATCTGCGGTCCTTCAATTAGAGGCGGTGAGGAAGACTTTCTGCTCAGAGACCCGCAGCCCTCCTTCCTGCCCCGCAGGACCAAGCGGGAGGGCAGATTCACCGCAGGACGCATGGCGGGTTAGGTCCCTCTGGAATGACCCTCATGGGTCTTTATCCAGACGAACAGGTCCGACAGATACCATTCTGAGTTCGGGAACCAACCAGCAGGAAAATGTGCGTTGCAGGAATTTGTAGAACAAACAGAGACGTTATAAAGTCTTGAATCTCTCACCTGCGCTGCGGATTATTAAGGATCTTTGCGCCACATCATCATCATCATCATCATCATCCGTCATGTGATGAAGCCTTTTCCCTCTCTGCTCCTTACGATGAATCCATTTTCACCTTAAGAAAATATGAATCATTTCATGAGTTTTTTGCTGCTTTAAACCACATGACGGATTTTAGGGCATCAAAGTGAAACAATAATGAAATATTTTCTGATTTGAGGAGAAATAATTCATGTTTGTAGGAAGAGGAGGGCGTCAGATGTGCAGCCTGGGTGTTTTCATGGCGCGTCATGCGCGCAGACAAGACACTACAGGGAACATTTTTAAATATAAAGAATAAATCATCTGAGTAATAAAAGAAAAATAATATAATTAAATTTCAGATTTAACCTTATATCCTGCCTCTGTTAGTTCGGTGCTTATAAATAAAATATGTGCGTTTTCCTCTGTTTTAAATCGTGAAATGCGTTCAAACATTTACAGCACCGGGTAAATTTTAGGCCGTACTGGAAGGTGAGTTTTAATAATCATGTGTATCAAATGAGGACAGCAGATATTTTCAGGTCTTACCTTCTGTTTGGATCCGTTTAAAAAAGGTGAGGAATTTGCGCCAAAAACGCAATAAAATCTACAGAACATCTTTAAAAAGATAAATAAATATATGCGTAAACTAATCTAATAAAACAAAATCTCTTTTGTTGGAGAAAATCAAATGTTCCTCCGTTGAGGGAAGGAAAGAAAATGGACCCTCCGCAGATTTTTGCGCTCTCTCTCTCTCTCTCTCTCTCTCTCTCTCTCTCTCTCTCTCCTGTTTCTGCCTACCTCGCTCTCCCTTTTGCAGATACTGAGTGCGCACCTTCCCTGACTCCATCCTTGGACCCCTGTCAGCTCCACAGTCGACTTGAAAGCAGTGGGAATATTTTTTTTTTCTCTCACTGGAAGTGGGATAAAAACAAAAGTCCAACTTGTCGGCAGTGGTCCGTGAAGGAGCAGCAGATCCTCTCCGTTCAGGTAGAGAAACCGGCGCTGCTGCTGCAGGAATGCTTTGAATGTGTTTATCTTCCGTCTAAAGGGGGGAAACATGGAGGGGTGTGTCTGATGCTGTCAGGGGATTTGTGCGTAAAAAAGGCTTCCGTTGCGCATTTGTTCTGGGTGCGCATGACAGTTAAACATGATGCAGTTTGGAAACACAGAGGACATTTCTTACTCTGGTACTTTTCCTCATATGTTCGTTGATATTTAGACTTTGTCTCATTTTCTCTCTTATCTCCATAAAGTATAAAAATGTGATTTAATAAAATTTGGTTACATTTTGATGGGATCAGAAGGAGAAAGCTCATTTATCCAGGTTTCAGGCTGACTTAAGGGATTTTAAAACTTGCTCCTTCCTCTCTGAGATGAGTCACGCAAAGATCCAGTGCGTCATTTTCTCCTCTCATCTCCGGCTCCCATTTTGTTTGTTACCTGCAGCCTTTTTGATGTTTTGATGTTTTATTTTCTAGCCAGATTCAGATTCGTTCTGCAGCCTTTTAAACCTGAATGAGCAGAAACAGTTTATGACCTCCAACCTTGAGGAAAGAACAGTCTGCTGTGTCTGCTTCATGTTTTGCTGAGATTGTTGTGGTAAAACTGATCCTCGTCCCTCATTTCTCACCATGTTTGGATTATTTTCAACCTTGTGACAAACCAGACTCCACAGCTGAAAAACCAGCTGCTTCTGTTGTTCTGCAGAAATGCTGTTTAATGTGGCTAATAATTAGCATAACGTATAAACCATAAATGTTACTTTATCTGCACTGGAGGAAGACTGAGACACTTAATATGATGAAAACCATCTAAGCTAAGAATTCAAATATTTTTGTTTAATTAAAACCAATCATTTTTCACACATAAACACAGCATGAAATCTGGCTTCATATCAGTTTCATCATCAGTATCTCATCTTGTTATCTGTAAGGAGAAAACAGCTGCAGTGAATCCATGGAAGAGCCTGAATCTGTTTTAGCAGGGAAACTGGGTGTTAGGAGGCGACACTTTGGTGATTTTAATTCCAGTTTCTCCACTGATCATCTCATTCATGCAGAGCTTCAGTGGACTGGAATCAGAGGAATTTTTGGTTTGAGGTGATCATTTCTCAGGTCTCTAGATGTTTTCAGCATGTTCAGCTCAGATTTAAGAGGCAAAGATGTTGTTTTATAAAACATAACCAGTGCTAGGCTGTGCTAGCTAAACAATTAGCTATGCTAACCCTAAAGCACTAATCATGAACATTAGCTCCCCTAATGCTGAAGTTTTACACTAACATTAGCAGAAGCTAACGCTAAAGCACTAAATTCAGTCATGTTGATTCCTACCATGAGGAGAACCTGAAGAGGCTTTCAAAATAATTCATGTGAATTTTTGCATTTATTTAATTAACCACACTAGTTTTTTGTTAATGTGTTGCATTCTTCTGTATAACATTTTTGTTGTTGCCATTTACTCAATAATGTCTTGAAAAAGAGAGAGAGAGAAAGAGAGAGAACAAGAGAGAGAGAGAGAGAGAAAGAAGGAGAGAGAGAGAGAGAGAGAGAGAGAGAGGAAACAGCTTTCAGCCACTTCAGAATAAATCAGTTAGCAAAAGTCAACAGAACATTAGCTCCAGTATTAGCGGATTAGTGGAAGTGTGTCCACAACGGATTAGAACGTTAATAAACATTTTTTCAAATTAAACCATTCTAAACATTTCTTTGAAAACTTGTTGAAATTTTTTTTTGCCAATCTCTAAGATAAACCTTTCCTCAGACTCATGACAAACACAAACCTCGGCTTTTACTCTAAACGTTTGTCGTCTTCTCTCTGAACTTTCCGTGTTGATAGGGAGATTTCGTCCCTCGTGTCCCAGAAAATGACGAGTCCTCTGGAGAAAGTGGTGGCTGAGAAGAAGGAGACCATCGAGGCGCTGATGGACATGTTTGAGAAGGGCGCCGAGGTGTTGGCGAGCGCCGTGGGGGAGCTGTTTCCGCTCTGCGAGGCGGCTGCTCCGGTCCTCAAGCTGGCCTTGGACAACGTCCACAGCAAGGAGGTGTTTTACGTCAAAGAGCAGTTCCTGACGGTGAGGACCAAGCTGGACGTGCTGTCCAACCAGCTGGAGGACATCGAGTCTGAGCTCAGGAAGGGAGACCTGGACCGCGACTACTTCACCGTGGAGGAAAACATCAGGAACCAGTTTAGGAAGTACATGGACATCCTGGAGGCGAAGCCGCAGTTCAGGGAGGTGAAGAAAAAGCTGTTTCTGGATCACTTCACTAAAACCGGTAGAGAGAAGAACCTCTGTGTTCTCTACGATGCTCTGATGGGAACCAACACCTTCAAAGATCCGATTTTAGACACAGTAGAGAGGTAAACAGACTCATTAGCTGTGTTTCCATTACAAATGTGTCAAATCTCTCGGCTAATAGTGAAAGCGGTTCCTGTTAAATAATAAACGTAATTAAAATCACTCATGAATAAATTTGTTCACTCGAAAAATGGATGAATAAATGCATCATCATCATCATCATCATCATCATCATCATCATCATCTTCCTCCCTCATTTCTGTCGTCGTCTTTATGATTTATGCCAGTGATGACTTTTGTGATGCAAAAAAGTGTTTCCATTGCAGTTTTGCAAAATAAACCAATTTCAATACTGCAAAAAAAAAAAAAAAAACATCCATCAAAGATTTTTAATGGGAAACAAGTTTTTTCAAATTTGGCGTCTTTCCATTTATTGTCAGAATTAGCTTAATGAAATATAAAAACAATAATGCAATCTACTTAACACTTCTAAAAATCAAAATCAATACATACATTATCAACAGAGGAGTTTTCACTGATTACAAAAACACACACCTATAGTAAAATCTTCTTCATTTTTGCTAAAAGTTACATATTCATCTCTGGTGATGCCAAGATATTAGAAGATGCTTGAATCAATGTGTGGTGGTGACACCAGGGAGACGTGCGGCCGTTTCTCTCTGGTTGGAGCATAGCATGGCGCCGCCCTCAGTACGTTGTAATAGTTGAGACTGAAACACAAGACCAATGGATACATCACAACAATGAATCATTGAATCATCTGCATAAAGATGCACATTGGCCCAAATTATTAATATAGATGGTATCAGTGCAGGTCCTAAAACTGACCCTGGTGGAGAAATGTCCATATAACTTGGACAGTCATGTTGTTCCCTCTGCTTACGGCTTATTCAGTAAACCCTCCACCCAAAAGCCTCTTTCTGTTCTTATTTACTTAAGTTGCAGAAATCTCTTGATGGAGCATCAACTGGAAATAAACTCTAAAACTGCTTCTGTTTGGCAGGTATGTTGGGAGGAACCGGCGCCTCCTGGAGGACTTCTGCGTCCGGATGAAGGAGCTCTTCTGCCTTGGTTTGATTTCTCTGCTGGGCTACTGCGCCCTCACCCAGAGCCCAGAGGAAGAGCAGGACAAGATCCGAGAGTGGAGCACCAAAATCGAAGAGGTAGAGTCCAAGATGAAGGCAGCCATCGAGTCCTGCATAGCTGCGTTTCCAGAGCAAGCGAAACTAGACGTGCAGCGCCTCCTGCAGGAGACAGAGGAGGAAAATCTTCAGGATGCAGCTCAGAGTCTTCTGGAGTTCCTGGTGAAAAAGTACGACTGGGTCTCCTGGTCTGTGCGGCTGATCAAAAACTCAGGCAAAGCCTTTGAGAATCTGCGAGCCGGAAAGCACTTCCACCACATGGCGGGACAGAACTGGTTCGAGGTTCTTCAGGGGAACGACGTCTGCCTGGTGGTGTCGTTCAGCACCGCGGCCCAGCCGGTTCCCAGCGACTGCGTCCGGCAGCTGATGGAGGGTCCGGCCAGGAAGGGCAACGCTCCGGAGGCGGTGGAGGCGCTGGAGAAGCAGCTGTGCGGGTTCATTGTTCACGCCATCAGTCGGCACAAAGAGTCTGCAGCCGCGTGGAGCTTCCCGGAAGAATGCCACTACTGGGAACGCCACAAGAACGTGGCCGTGTGTGTGCACTCGGAATAACGCTCAAGAGCCGGCTTTAAAGATTTATCATCCATTTAAAGGGGCAGTGTTACGTATATTGTCTCTGTTTCTTTAAGAAGCTCTTGCTCTTCCAAACACTCCACCTTTTGTATGTCATCAGAGCGATTTTCCTATCAAGCGATTAACAGCGTTTCTACCAGCGTTGCACTGAGAAGCAGCTCGTGTGATAAGTTCAGCAGATATGCAGGTCCACCAGTGTTTACTAACTTCTGCTGCCACTAGTCTAGAGGAACTGAGTGGGGAGGGCTGCTCTGTAGGGAAGCTCGGCTTGGAGGAGCTTTGGGGAAACACCAGGATTTCTCAAACATGAATAAAAGAACCAAAGCAACGCACCAGGTGTGTTTTTCAAGAGGGAGTAAATTTATAACACAATGTAAAGCTAAAAAAGTAGATTTTACATAACACTGCCCCTTTAACTGCAGAAACCTTCATCCTGCTGCAATAATGAGGAATAAAACATCATTATTTATCCCTATATCAGCTGAATATAACTGCCATACCATGTATCCTGTAGCTACTTTCACAACTTTAAGACCCAAAGTACTGTGTGGATTCTGCTTCATTTCACATGCTTATTATCAGCAGTTCATTTATTTAACTGCATCCAGGTATATTTTCTATCACTGACATGTTTAGCATAATGAGCATAACGTAGATCCCAGATAACTGAAGCTTTTATCTGGTGCATATAAAACTCCAGTCCGGATCACTTTAATTTCACTGCAGCTTCTTAACTTTGACCTCAGCTGCTTGCTGTAACGCTGCCGCCTTCATTCAGCCCCAAAGAAAAGGCTCTGCTGAGTCGGCGTCTTCGTCCCAGAGCTGCATGTTTGTTCCCCAGCAGGCTGACCTACAAAACTCTGACAGGGGAACAGAGGCGACTTCTTCAGGCGGGAGATGTCACACTGTGTGCCTTAAGCTCCAGAATAAAGAAACTCACAACACCCCGAATGAGCTTTAAAGCTGCAGTATGTAACTTTTATAAAAAATGTTTTCAAATATTTGTTCAAATTGTCACCAACGTGTCACAGTTTATTAGACAGATGATCTGTGAAAAAAATCAACCTCCTCCACTTCCTACATGAGCTATGATTACCGTCAGAAGAAATGAATCAAAACAACCAATCAGAGCAACCAATCACAGCCAGGAGGAGAGGCTTAACGCTGTCAATCAACCTCACGTATTTGCTGGTCAATGACTGACTGAGAAACAACTTACAGTTACAGGAAAACTGTTTATCTGCCATTATCTGTGCTCATGACTACCTGTGCTACTGTAGAGTACCAGAGACCAAAGGGGAGAGGAAGTAGGATGAGCAGCGCCACATGGAGAGGTGACTGACAGCACTAAGACCCGCCCCTCCCTCTGATTGGTTGGTTTTAGTTTGCAGTGGTAAAAGGCGGCTTGTTTTTTTCCAGATGATCTGTCTCTCGTCTCTCTCATGCTGTCTTCATATAATGACAGCTGCACCAAATACGCTAATATATATATATATATATATATATAT